TCGACTGGCGTGGTTTCGAATCCCCGGTTGTACGTGACAAGGAGTAGGGTCGCCTGTCCAACCTCGTGGGTTTTCACCGGGTCCTCCGGTTTCCTCCCACTGCTTAAGACCCCTATGCGCAAGCGAATTATTGAAATAAAAATTAAACCATATGTTAGTCCCGAAATGACCTAGTTTGTGTCGAGTGGACGTTAAACCCCATTTTTCTCTCTCTCTTTATTTGGGTTATTTTTGGCTTGCTAACGATAAGAGAACGCTTGTCGAAACGTCGCGCTAGATGTATATAAATCTGTGATTGTTTTGTGGGTTTTTTTGTGTACAAAATGTGGCTGGTATATGTCTTGAAAATTAAACAATTTTGTTCAGATTATAAGCCCAGTAGGTATAGCGTACTGTCCAAAAGGCTTAGATAATGACCTGGGTGACATAATGATCACTCAGGTCAAGAATAAGAAATCAACATTGACGACCGAACAATTGGGTTAAATATGCATATCTGAGCATTTAATAGTAACATATTTGACCCGTCTTAAAAGTAGATTATGAGTTTATATGCGTCTTATCGCGTCCCTATATTAGGTTGTATTTTTGTGATAAGTGACAAGTATGAACTATATTAATGATAAATAAATAACCAAATAAATATTACTATTAAATGTCTTGATTTACAATATTTACCAAAGCATGTTACATCAATTTATGACATACCTCCCTTATTTTTAAATATTTATTTCCTACTCAAAAATTAAAGATAACGAAATGCGGGGGTCATCTAGATGACCCACACACAAGCATATCTTCGATAAAAAAAATCCATTGAAAAAAAAAAGTCGACCTGATTTAAGCGCGAGTTTTAATATTTAGTGCAATTTGGATGGTCTAAAATAGATCTTAAATGGCTGCTTGTTTATTTTCGCTGTGAAATAACTTCAGTCAATTTGAGACCGGTCTGAATCAGATATTAAATGGCTGCTTCTTTATTTTCGTTGTGAAATTTTAGACTGAGATGGTAAGATTTTATTATGTGTACGACAGGGCGAATCTCCGTGTTTCGTCCTATCCTAACGTTTTGGCAACACATTACCTATCAGCCCCGATAACACTACCCGGATAAGTAGGAACCCGAGTGAGAAATAATAACACAATATGGCATATATTTTGCTAAATTTCAAAAACTCATTCATTAAAAAATTGACAATTTGTGTGAGTTACTCATTGACATTATCAACTGCTTTTATATACTCTTCAACAAAAGTAGGGGATATTCAGAAACAATACAAAACTGCAGAAATGCACGGCTGTTTTTTATTAGACGTAACCAGTGTATGTTAATAACAGGCCAATTGCCTACACATGAACATAAACAGTTCATATGGGCGGCTTATCTGACGGCCCCATTTCACTCGCAAAGAGATACACCTCCAATAGTGAAAATGGACGTTTTTGATTTTTGTCTTAATAATGAATAATTGCTCCACCAATCCTTAGACATTCAGCAATTCGTCGTGGTATGCTCCTAATCAACCGTCCAATCACGATTTGAAGCAATCTGTCCCACTCTTCTTGCAGTGCCACGGCCAAATCTTGCGGTATTTTGTCGACTCCCGATCAAATTAAACGTAACACACTAAAGGAAAGACACACTAAACAGTAAATCTCATGCAAGAACCGATATGTTATGAAGGCATACATGGATAGATAAACCAGCACGCGGCAGTTTTCATCAACCCTTCCTTGAAGTGTCAAATTTGACAATGATCCCCTCCCACGAGTATGGCGCTATTGCGTGTCGCACATGCAGCTCAGTGGTTCTGTTGGGGCGATAAGTTCTTCATCTGTGAACATATTCTCAAAGCACGTCAAGTATACATGACTATTTATCATATCACATTTGCATTTCAATATCCCCCACTTTTTTTAAGAGTATATGATCAAGATACATCTCCTTAATATGCATATTATGCATGTACAAGATCGAGTTATTCACTCGTGTCATCACAGCAAATCAGATCAGCGCTCGTCTTCAAACAGACACTGGTGTGAGAGTGAGTGGCCAGACGATTCGGAATCGACTGCATAGGGGTCACCTTCGCGCCCGACGTCCTCGCGTGATCCCTTGTTTGAGAGATCATCACATTCAGGCAAGACGTCGTTGGTGTAGGGATCGTCAACACTGAGATAATCGACGCTGGAGCAATGTGATGTTTTCAGATGAGTCAAGGTTCACTGTTGATTTTTTGGACAGACGTAGGAGGGTGTGGCGTCGTCGAAACGAGCGCTTCCAAGACGTTAACGTCATCAGACATGATCGATTTGGGGGTGGTTCTGTTATGGTGTGGGGAGGCATCACTGTTGCTGGAAGAACGGCTTTACATGTTGTTGCAGGGCGTGTTACAGGCCAGTACTACCGGGACAACATCTTGGCAGTCCATGTTGTGCCTTTGCACGACGTCATGGCCGCCGTTTCATCTTCCAGGATGACAACGCAAGATGTCACAGGGCAAGGATCGTTACAGGTTACCTCCAACAACAGAACATCACCACATTACCTTGGCCAGCACTGAGTCCCGACCTCTCCCCCATCGAGCATGTCTGGGACATGCTTGGACAGAGGTTACGTCAACGTCAACAACGTCCTGCCAATGTCCAAGAACTTGCTGCTGCGTTGCAACAGGAATGGGACAATCTGGACCAAAATGACCTTAGACGTCTCATTAGGAGTATGCCACGTCGGATCAATGCTTGTTTGGCAAACAGAGGAGGATTTACCCGTTACTGGCTTGGTTGTGATGCTGTGGTAACTTTGCTGTTTGACCCCGGGTATCATTTTACCCTTATAATGGTCAGTCTGTGCCTTACTTAGTCTAACGATCATTTGGAATAAATCGATGAATGTGAACTTCATTTCATTTTGTCATTTGTTTCTTCGTCAGTTTCATTAGGTGACTTTAATAACACTTAAAAATCAAATATCCCCTACTTTTTTTGAATAGTATATTATTTACTGCGATATGATCTCTACTGTTGAATCTTTTTTCTTGGTTCAGTCTCCATTAAACAAAATTTATGATATCTAGATTCACAAAAAAGTTGCAACTCTGTTACTATAAACCCCATTAAATTTTAACCTCAGTATTTTTGTGAATTTATATTTAGAAAAATTTAACGCTTTGTTAAACAGTATGTCAAGCGAAACGGACATCTTATGAAACATGTAAGATTGTTGACGTTTGACAAGATTGAGTAGATTTACGATAAAGCGTCAATTGACATGTTTTGTTGAGTTTGTTTAATAATTGGTTGCGAACTCATATTTTCTGCACTTTCATAACTAGAACAATATATTTGGCTTTGTAAACATAAGAATTAAATGTAAAGTCATTCCAGGTTTTCTAGAAAGAGCAAAATTAGTATAGCATACTCGTTTTTCCTGCTTATCGTCTAATAGACCTAGTGATTTCATTTGACCCCCACACCCCACCCCACCCCAGCCTTAACTGTGAAAGACCCCAAGCGAAGTATTGAAATAAAAATTGTACCATATACTAATGGACGTTAACGCCCCCACCGCCCCTCTCTCTCTCTCTCTCTCTCTCTCTCTTTCTCTCTCTCTCTCTCGATATAGCCTACCCAGAACCTACAAAATATAATGTATTTGTGTATCCCGGCGTGTTTTCACGTAATATCACGTACTCGGTAAGATTTAGAGCGTTATACAATTTGTGATAGTCAAATTCTTCGCAAACTTTTCCTTGTCCGAAATTAGAGAAAAAAATCTTTAAATTGTGAGTTAACATTCCTTTTATTCAATGACCATTAATCACTTCTTTATTATATCATTTAGGGTCGGCCGGACACATTTGTCAGTGTATGGTTATATGTTAACAATGTGACGTGAAATTAATGCGATTTCTTTTGTGAAGATGTGATAAAAGAGTAAAATATACCAGGCGCATTGTTATTAAAGTTATCCTCCCTTCCCTTGGGACATATTTGTAATTAAATTGTTGCCGTGCTTAATTTTTCCTGTACTACCTTTTTTTATATTTACACCTATACGCTAAAGTTTAACTGCATCTTTTAAGAAGTTTGTATTCAATTGACCTGGCCTGGCACTTCTTCTAGCCAATAAAGCGATGTTTTTGCCATGGACAAAGACTGGTTGTAACCAATCGCAGTAGCTAACTGTATAACTTAAACAGAACAATTAAGTGGTTAGATCCAAATTAACTGAGACAAAAACTGGTTTTAATTTTTATCTGATTTACCCATAACAAAATTCAGGAGAACAGAACAACAACACACAAACATAACGAACGATACGAAACACAACATAATTAGATACATTTTGCCAGATTACAGGTAGATATGGAATACTAAACAATATTTAAAACGAAAACGAATTATCAAGCTTGTTATCGTTATTGTTGCTTTCATTTAGTAATTGGTTTATAATTTAAAAACTACCACAATGCAATCACTCAATGAATCTTTAAACGAACAACATTTGTTATATTTGATACCAACCTATGCCCGATAATGTTTGCTTCATTGCGAATTGCATTATTGCTGTTAATGCTTCATATAATATTATGGTTTATTTGCTTTAAAAAAACATAAGCAACCTATTTAGCTTAAGTAAGTTTACCTGCTTAGCTTTCAGGCAAATATAACATCTCATTATTATTTATGGAATTCTGTGTAATGTATCCAATGCATGAATATCATTTCTTTATGGATTTCTGTTTAATGTATCGAACGCATGAATATCATTTCATCTCCGTCGTTACTTTAATTTCTTTCAGACTTTGTTTAATTGGATCAATTAGATTATATCTTTTAAAATTTTGCTTTCGATGGGAGTTTACAATTATAAGAATATGAAAGACATTTTAAATATGTTTAAATATGGCACTTTTCATATGGTAATATTTTGGTTAAAATTAATTAATTAAACCAGTTATTAAAAAAAGCTAACTATCATATTTGTTTCCTTACAGAGGAATATTGTGGTGGAAAACCAGCGGATGTTGTATTTTTACTTGATGCCTCAAACTCTATCTGGGGTCCAGATTTTAAGAAACAATTGGAGTTTGTGCAAAATATTGTTTCAATGTTCAATATTGGTGAAAACTATACACAGGTTGGTATGGCCACATTTAACAGACATACGGATCTTCAGTTTCATTTAAATACCTATCACAAGAAAGAAGATTTAATTGAAGCTATTGGATTGGTGGAAGAGACTTACGGTGATGCTACGAACACTGCGGATGCTGTTCGCTTTATGCGGAGAGAAATGTTCAGTCCACGGCATGGTAGTCGAAAGGGTGTTCCCAGAGTAGGCGTCATTATCACCGATGGACAATCGTCAAATATTTTAAGAACTGTTTTTCAAGCATCGAGAGCCAAGCGGCAGCATATAAACTTGTTCGCCATTGGCGTTGGTGACTTAGTAAATGCTAGAGAATTGCGAGGAATAGCCAGTAAGCCATCTATGGAGTACATGTTCCAGGTTTTGGGTTATGGTGCTTTGGGTTCTGTAAGAAATATTTTAGCTGTCCGAACATGCGCAGGTAAGTAATAAGATTTAGTTTTATTTTGTTTCAGAGGCTATTTTGATCCTTACAAACAAATATTGAACTTCATATATATAAGCAAGCGCATCTAAAATGAAATATAATGTTGTTTTATAATATATTGCTTTCTGTATGTTATGATCTCTTCAATACAACTGTAAATGTCTCCAGTTTCCGGTGCAATAGGTAATCAAACAATCATGTGATTAAGAAATTATCAGGGAACATCACACTTTAATGAACCCACGGGGTGGCGCACTGGGTGTGTGCTGGCCCACTAACGTTCGGCTGTTGGCCGAGAAAGTTGCTCGGAATTGTTCTACCTAGTTGCCCTTAGTCATTGGTGCAGGACAGTGACCATGGCAAAGCAGACGGTCGCGTTGATCAGATTGGATAAAAAAAACCAAGGTGTCGTGTACACTTTAGCGTACAAGTAAAATAACTCTTGGCAGTAGATAAAATGTAGACAGAAAGGCCGCTGTTTGGCAAAAATATCCCTATGCACATTGCATATATACCCGTCTTGATTTACCGGGTTGGCCAAAAAAAAAGGTAAAACATTAAAATACATTTCATTTCATCACACTTTAACAGGGTTTAGAGCTAAAAGCCATTTTGTTATTTTTCAGTAAGTGGTAAGCCAAAAAAGTTAACCACTCCAGTATTTGTTAGAAGAACAACCACAAGTAAGCTCTTTAAATCTGACTTCAAACATTTATATTATTCACGCCCCGTCTACCGACACTGAAATAATTTATATGGATTTGGAATAAAATCCCTGACTTTTATCCTAATTCCAAAGTTTCGGATTTTCCATTATCGGGTCTTAAGAAATCTCAATAGCAGTCACCGATATGTCACGCGATTGTTTACTGACAATAAAAATAAATAGTCGTGCAAATTATCTTTACAACATCAAGATAGAATATGACTGAGTTGATGCATCGATGGCATCAGTGGATTTTTGGTCTAACTGCTGCTTGTTAAGAACACGCAAGGACCTGCCATTCCAGGACCCTTTATTTCAAAATGCCCCCACTCCCTTTCGATAAGGTTGACTAACGCTGTCCCATGTGCTACTGTTTATCATTCAGGGATTTTAAAATCAGTATTTTGAAATGGTTTCTGGCTATGGGGATTTTTTTGATCAACAAAGATTTTTTTAATGTCATTGTTCATGAAAACAAATGACATCATGCCTTGAACGCATTAGCATTAATGCAATAAATGGCTTAGCAATAATCTGTACACATTGTCGTCCATTTTGTTAATCTCATGATAACCCCCAGGTTAAGAATATAGTCCCACGGAAAATAATAAAACAGATAGAAGTTACGGTATTCACAAAATGGTCGTTCGAATTTCGGTCAATACATTTGACGATATAATCCAATGCATGCGGACTGGTTTTATTTCAAACCAAAAAATGTCACATGAATCCATTTGTGCTTTAACCACACAACGACACTATGACGCCAGCATTTGTAAATTAATGTTGCCATTTTGAAAGGTTTCGTGAAGTCATTTATCTCCAACAAAAGCTTAAGTGCAGGTGGCTAGAGTTATGGGGGTTTTTAATATGTACTAAGGAACCATTTCCGTATTCTTCATGTTATACAACGTGCCAGTGAAAGTAATTTACGATATTTTAGCCTTTTATCAACTTGACCCTTAGGGTCACTTATAGAAAGTGCTGTATAATGGCGCAAAAGATCCCTTTTCTAAAGTTTTAACCTCACATAGTATTTGATAGAGCTACCTCTGTTCTGAATACAATGCACGTTTAAACCTACACATGTGTTCATACTTTTTCTAAAACCACAATGTTTATGTATTATCATGTCTGCTATTCAAACCTGTATGTTTCCAATTTTCATTTGAACGACACCATTAGAGTAGTAGAAATAAACGCTTTGATTAGAATAATGTGGCCTTAAGTCATTTAACGTGATCGGGCAAATAAAGAGAATCTTTTAACTGAAATACGTAAACACATATTAGCAGTCTATGCGTTATTTCTTCTAGATATGAATTCATTTGTTGGGTTTAAAAATAATACCTTGTAGGTTATCGTCTCGAAATATTAGGAATAACATTGCACTCATTTTTAAGACGGCTGTACAGTGTACATAACTATTTTAGATTCATTTATCAAGAGCAGGCATTTATCGTCTAATCATTGCTGATTTGAGACACACTCAGTCTGAGTATTCACGTATCTCAAATGCACAAAATATGTAAAGACTCTTGTTATTGCGTAATTAGGAACATTCGGGTAGATAAAAAAAAATCTTCATGAATAATGATATCTTGTATGACGACGTAGTAGAATTATTATTATATTTATTAAAGATGTTGGTGTGTAATCAATCAAAACTATTAACCAAATACTACCACATAATGTTGGTTGATTGTGTACTACTGACATAAGTTAAGTCGTTGGTATTGAAAATAATCCCCTTTCACTTTCTTGAAGAAGCAGTTCATGGCAATAAGGGATAAGTTTGAAATTTAACCATTAAGGAAAATGTCACGGATTGTCTTATTTCTGCTGCCCCTTTCCAGCCTATGAAAAAAGAGACATAAACCGATCGAATGGGCTACATCAGAATGAGACAACTAGAGCATATGGAAAAAGAGATAAATCTAGTTAATTGTGATTAAGCTTTACTCACGATAACCTGGAATATGCAATGGCGTGTACACAAGTTAAAAGCCACTCTTGAATAAAACGCATTCGGTGCTAAAATTAATATACACTGTGTTATCTATTATGCAGATGAACAGATAAGCAACTTTGATTAGTCATTCTCATCTACATAGGTTGAATAACCGACATATGTTGGCATTAAGTAACTACATAAATCACACTAATTGCTCTAATATCGTCATTTTTTCTGCTCCTAAATGCATTTGCATACCGAAAATCTGCAGAATCTATTTAGACATTAATTTATAACATCGCCTACGTTTGTTAATACATTTTTAAAAACATTTGAGCCAACGCCTAAAGAAAACGTATAGAAGTAGCCGCTTGCTTCTGAATTCCTTGATTTTGACCAGCAATCAAACATTCCCTGCTTTAAGGCAGACGACCTTACTTCTAGGATGTTTGCGGTTTATAATTTCTTTTTCAAATTCAAATTACGCCCAGTGTGCAGCATTTAAAAGCTAAATGCAAGTTTTCAAAAAATCAAAGTATGGCAACACGCTCCACTAGTAAGCTTTCACATCGCTCAGTTAACATAATAGTTTCTAAACTGAATAACCTACACGAAATTGCATAATTATACGCATATTTGTTGCTGTACAATAATAGCCTTTGTAAAAATGAAATGTCACAATGATAGGCGAATGGGCATTATGTTAGATAAGAGTGCAGGTAACAATTTATTCCTTTATATAGGAGATATTTCTTCCATTTATGAACTATCTTTTCGAACTGCATTGTGAACTTGTCCCAACTATGTTTTTAAACTCAACTATTAATATCTGCATTCAAACACAGCTATAAAATGTGGACTACATCAACTCAAGAGCCCAAATCGACATTTTTGTCTGGAGTCTTGTGATAAGGCTAAAGTTAAGCATCAAGTTTTTCTGAAAAACTCCCAACTTATTCTTACTAAACAAATGTTTTAAATGAAGCAATGTTTATAGATTCATCATCCACCAATAAACAAAATGGCGGACTGGTGCATGAAAACAAAACTAGAACCACGACGCCATCTTTTGAGCAGACTTCGGGTTTTGTTGGTAAAGTTCGATCGTAGTTGTAGATTTTGTGTTTCATGATAAGAAAATATATGTTCCATAATGCAATGTTGCTTTGATAGTACAGAACTCCAAAAAAGAGTTTTGTCGTTGTTTTTAATGTGTACAATAATTTTATTTTTGATTTGTTGGAGGTTCAATTTGCTGTCATGGAAATATTATGTGTGCATATTAATTGTTAATTTGTGCTGTTATCATACTGTACTAGTTCGTAGAGCTCTGCTACAGTACCATGTTGTTGTCGATTGTCCAGTGTGGAAATACCGGATGTAATACTTTTCGTTTTGTGCTCCATATACATGCTTGTTAATATTGTTATTGCCGGTTCCAACAGTGTTTCTACATTGCCATTTTTATGTTATTGAATGTCAACAGTTTTTGTTGTTCATTGTCTTTGTTCGGAGTAGTCGACTTCATAATATTTTGTTTTTCTGGCTTTGTATTTGTATTCATATTCTGTGCCACCGATTCAATTATTGCCATTCGTTGTGCAAGCGACTATGTCACATATGTTTCAGTTTGCTTTTATACACAGTAATTGCTTCCTGATAATCCTTTTAGTACAATCAACCAGAAAACATATTAGATTATTTTGTTATTGTAAATATTTTGTCAGTGGTAAACATCGCACCAGGACATGTCATTTTTGTCCTGGTGATAATATTTCTTGACCCTGACTTGGTAATACTTTCATAAATTTTAATGATTCGAGAAGTGGTCAAACAACATTTTGTCGTCATGCAGTTCGCATTAAGAGATATATCTTTGGGCTAATTGCCCAAAATAAAATGTTGATTACATTTGGGTATCTATTAAAGATTTCAACTAATATCATATTAGGATTATTAATTGTATGGCCAGCTTCTAAAAGACCATAAGATATGGATTGAAATTCCTCATTTTCTTGAATCTTTAAGATCTTAAAGGACACTGAGCATATAAATCCATACCCTGGATATCGATTTCCAATGAGCTTTAAGATCTTTTTGACACTGTCTACACAACATTTCTGAAATGCCTCTACAACAGTATCTACGCCTGGCTTTCAAACACATCTCTATATTCTGTACATGTATGTCCTTATGTTTGGGTGACAAATATGTGTTTCTGCGTTATTATGCTTTATCATGATTGATCGGCCCATCTGTTTTAATCCATCATCTTAAGAAAAACTGGTGTGTTTACAAGAAATATACAAATCTCTACCTGTAATTATTGCTTTTTCTGTTAACCAAATTGTTAACTTGTAGATCGTTCATCAAATTTAACAGACCTGACTGTATTAGTATGATTATCATATATTTTACAGACGAACATTTTGTTTTCCTTAAAGTCTATCATGATATTGATGTAATATTTCACCACATTCATCCCAAGTATTTCACAAATTCTTAAGCTTTAAAGATGATGGATTTTCTTTTAAAACATTTTCATCTTCTAGAGAAACGTCGAAAAGATCATAAACCTCCCACCTCTACCAAAAATGAAACAGCTGCATCGTCGAAGAGAGGGCACCCTATTCCTACATCTGATATCATTATATCGAAAACTACCAAAACCGGTAATATCCCCATTTCCACGACAATACCAATCCTTTCAACTAGGACATCTATTGAGCAAAGTTCAAGCGATATAAGTAACTTATTTGGAAGAATTGGTCCACCAAAATTCCCTCCATTTCACAATCCTAATTCTAAGTTAGAAGCCGAAGATTTCATAACAGGTCATTCGGAAAACACTTCTCCTTCTGGCTGGCTGCCTCTTGACCCATTTGACGAAAAACCGTCAACTGTCTCTCCTAATTCGGAAGATGCGCGAAATGCAGATAGGTTTTCGGTTACTGACACCCAACACACACCGAAGGACCAGAAGGAAGACACTTATTCGGGTGACGTAAATGCCGATAATTCACAAAACAACAACCATGACACGTTTACTGGTACCAATAATCCAAACAACAACAACGAGCTTACAAATCTCGACAACAATAATAACAAGTTTAGAGCTATTTCAAATTACAAAAACAGTTTAACAGGTGTCGATAACCCAAATAACAAAACTAATCAACCCAATATGAATAATAGAGGCGTCAATCATCACAACAACAGTAACAAAAGGTTAACGGATGATGCCAATACGTACAATAATAAAAGGTTTACGGATGCAGATAATCCGTACGACAATAACAACAGATTAACAGATGCCGATAATCCTTACGACAATAACAAGTTTACAGATGTCGAGCATCTAAGCAACAATAACAAGTTTGCAGATGTCAATAATCCAATCAACCATAATAAGTTTACAAATAGCGAGAATCCAAACAACAAAAAAAGGTCCAGAGACGTCGATAATCCAAACAAACAAAACCGGAATACAGATGCCGAAAATCCAAACAACAAGAACAGGTTTACAGATGCCGAAACTCCAAACAACAATAACATGTTTACAGATGGCGATAACGCAAACAGCGATTACAGGTTTACGGAGGACGACAATCTAAACAAGAACCCCAACAACATATTTAGAGGTGTCGATAATCCAAACAATCGTTTTACGAATGTCAATAATCCAAATAACAACAATAGCAGGTTTACGGATACCGATACTCCATACAAACAAAACCGGTTTACAGATGCTGAAAATCCAAACAGCAATAACAAGTTTACAGAAACCGATAATCTTCACAATAATCGAAATAAAGGTTTTGATAATCCAAACAACGGGTTTAGGGAGACCGATAATTCAAACAACAACAATCCTTTTACGAATGCCGATAATTCAAATAATAACAATAACCGGTTTACAGATGCTGACAATCCAAACAAACAAACACGGATTACAGATGCTGGAAATCGAAACAACAATAACACGTTTACAGGTACCTATTATCCAAACAACAATAACAAGTATACAAATGCCGACAATGACAGGTATACAGATGAAGATAATCTAAACAATAATCAAAATAAAGAACTTAGGGGTGTCGATAATCCATACAACAGGTTTAGAAAAACCGATGATCCAGACAACAACAACAACCGGTTTACAGATGCCGATAATCTAAACAACAACCCAAATACAAGATTTCGTACCATCGATAATCCAAGCAACAACAACCGCTTTACGGATGCCGATAATCCAAACAATAACAATAACCGGTTTACTAATGCCGACAATCCAAACTTCAACGACCGTTTTACAGATGCTGCAAACAAGTTTACAGGTGCATATAATCCAAGCAATCTCCCGAATAATAGATTTCCAGCCATCGATAATCCAAGCAACAACAACCGCTTTACGGATGCCGATAATCCAAACTATAAAAATAACCGGTTTACTGATGCCGATAATCCAAACTTCAATAACAACCGGTTTACAAATGTCGATAATCAGAACAACAATCCAAACAACAGATTTCGTAGCGTTTCAAGCAACAACAATCGTTTTACGGATGCAGATAATCCAAACAACAAACCGAACAACCGATTTCGAGGTGCAGATAAGGCAGGCCACAAAAATCGTTTTACGGATACCGATAATCCAAACAATAACAATCATTTGAATAGAGATGAATTTACCGACAATTCTAATTACCGCAAAGGATTTTCAAATTCATATAATTCCAATAACAATAATAAATTCCCTGGTTCGACCATTCCAATCGACGAACATAAATCCCCTTTTTCTGGATTTCAAAACAAAAGGAATGGATTTTCAGACAGCGATAATTCCAACAAAGAACTTCCAAGATGCAGGAATGTATCGCCGTCCTCTTCTGGTGACATTGTTACTACAGAAGAGCCAAAGAGTAAAGGAAACGACAACCCCACTGCTCTACCTCATGGTGAGTACTGAAGTATGCTCAAACCAGTTGTTAACACATTTAAAACAGAACTTTTAAAAATCATTACAGATTAAATAAGGAATATGCATTAGCATACGTACTAGTAAATCAGTATTCAAATCTTTACTGTGTATACTTATTTTGTGTCATCAGCTATTTGGGTGTATTTTTTAGAAGGAAAAGAGAAGATTAACACAACAGATGAATCATATTCTGGAGATGAAGACAAAGGTTCATTCATGTAACTTCGTACTGAATAAAACTAAACTGCATCGCTTAAGTGAGCAATGTTAAAACAGCTTCTGAATGGGTAGCCTGTGTAATAATAGGTCTGCTTATGCCTGAAATTGGAATTCTGTTAAGGTTTTCGATACCGGAAAATCTTGGTATTAGCATTTCAAAGTTTAATGTTACATTCAGTGGGTGTTTGAGAATTTTATCCGGCCTTTTAACATTGAACATTAATACTGTTATTTAATCAGCTTTTCATTGTTGTTATTTGCAGTTTATTGTTGTTATTGGCAATTGATTTATGTCATTAGTGATAGAATTTATGGATATTTTTGACAGAAGTGGTTACTTTATAGAAGCTATTGTTGATAGTGGTTCCATTTTGGGCTTAGAAAACAGCTTTTATTGTTGTGATTACAGTTTGTTCTCTACTTGGCTTGGTGTATATTGTATTGCTCTGTTGTTTAGTGGACATTATGTTTATGTATACTGTATAACATATTAAACAAAATATTATTTTCTCTACTTGTTTTGGAACATAGATTGAACATGTTCTTTCTATCTTAGAAACTCGATAAACAAGAAAATTCAGCATTTTGTAATTAAACTATGAATATATTATCATTAAAAATATATAAGTATATAAGCATATTACATACTTACCACTTGATATATTATGCATAATGCTATTCGATCCAAATAACGGGTATATGGCTTTTGGTACCTGAAAATGGATTATCTTCAGAACATTTAAAAATTTGATATAAATCCATACGCTTTGCCATTTAGTGTGGTCAAATATATACATGTAGTTATGAACTTTAAATTATATGTTAAATTATGTTTATCTTAGCACGTACCCGATTTAAATTTTATTTTAAATTTTGAATATAATATGGATATATTTCTTTCTTTCAGCAACTACAACAACAACTCCCCCACCTCCAAAACCCACCGAAAGAACCATGCTTGAACCAGGTAACGGAAATAATGCTAGAAATAAGCGATACAAGACTGTTTTTTGTTTATATTGGTCGAGTTTAATGAACCATTGTTATAGTCTCTTTGCTTTATACAGAAGTAGCACCTGTGGGGCAAACAAATGTTGCCTAGTCGTTCGGATGGGACCACGTAAAAAAAACATGGATAATTTGAATTAAGTGAAGGGTGGAATGAAACACATAGATCACCGCATGTTAGTCTTTATTTCTGTCCATGCTTAATAGAAGAGAGTTGTCTAACTCGTGCACTGTATATCATGCTAAAAGCGTGTTATTTATGGATTCATGGATTCGTTCCCAGGGCAACTATTGAAATGCAAATAGCAGATGTAATCCTTCAGTGACCCATTTACGTTGAATGGGGTTGAACCCCATATCCTATGGAAGCCTATAACTACCATTCCTAATTTCTACCTTTCGCCTCTTCAGAACACGAAAGTCGAAAAGTCGAAAAGTAGAAGTTACGACAAATTGTGAGGCGACAAGACGGTATACAAGCCAAAATCAACTCGAAAATAGGAAATTAAGAAATAACACATCGCGATAATAGCGCTCCCCGTTTTTTCTTAATTTCTACTTTTCGACTTGCATTTTGGCTTGTATACCGTCTTGTCGACTTTCGACTTAGTCATATTTTTGTATTTATTGATGTCAGTAAGAAGGCGCCATCACGCTATACAAGCCAAAATGAAACTCGAAAAGTAGAAATTAGGAAATTAACATACTGCGCTATTAGCGACCTATGGTCTGTCGTACTGTCGACTTTTCGACTTTTCTACTTTTCGCCTAGGAAGTTGTTGTAGTCTCTGCCTTCCAGGTCACATTTGAATACGCGCAATTCCCGTTAACAAAAATGTCTGTGTGATAGAGTCTAGTATTATGCAAATTAAAATTCTAAACCAGTCTTTACAATGTAATCAGTGTTGGCGATGGGAAATTAAATTATACAGTCGTCAGTATTATTATAAAACTTACAATCTAAGCTTGATCGAGATATTAATAAAATAATCGGCATCATTACTAGACTCTATCACACAGACATTTTTGTTAACGGGAATTGCGCGTATTCAAATATGACCTGGAAGGCAGAGACTACAACAACTTCCTAGGCGAAAAGTAGAAAAGTCGAAAAGTCGACAGTACGACAGATCATAGGTCGCTAATAGCGCAGTGTGTTAATTTCCTAATTTCTACTTTTCGAGTTGCATTTTGGCTTGTATAGCGTGTTGGCGCCTTCTTACTGACATCAATAAATACAAAAATATGACTAAGTCGAAAGTCGACAAGACGGTATACAAGCCAAAATGCAAGTCGAAAAGTAGAAATTAAGAAAAAACGGGGGGCGCTATTATCGCGGTGTGTTATTTCTTAATTTCCTATTTTCGAGTTGATTTTGGCTTGTATACCGTCTTGTCGCCTCACATTTTGTCGTAACTTCTACTTTTCGACTTTTCGACTTTCGTGTTCTCAAGAGGCGAAAAGTAGAAATTATGAATGGTAGTAGGCTTCCATAATATCCCCTTTTCACTTTAATCCTCGAATTGAAATACGACAAAGAATTGAAGAAGCTGTAAAGGCAGTGTTATTCTATCGCTCATGACATTGGTAATCATAGGTGATTTACAAACACCCCCTCTATCGAGCCCTGTCTGTCTCCCAAACTATAGTCTCTTGCACCATATCTCTTAGCGGTGGGTGAATGATATTGTTGCAAACCTACATGACCCAATTGTACTCTGTTAACCAAAGCATCAATGTATTTTTTTTTAAAAGTTATCCAGGCATATCATAAAGGTTTTTCTTTAATAGTTTAAAATGGTGGTAGTTATTCGGTAACGGAACGCCCATTACATTAAATGAAGCGTATAACTTGTATAGGTCAGTGATTTATTGTAAAGGTTGCAGCACCCTCTTATTTAAACAGTCGGTATTAAAATGATTGAACTACTTTGATCTGGGTCAAAAATAAAATAGTCGATTTCATTTGATTTCATTTGACTTGTTTTTCGATGGTGTTGAACGATCGTGACGCCAAACTAAAACCAATGTTTGTAAACAAAGCTATTTCCTCTGAATCTTTCGACACAAAAGCATATGTATAAAGAGGGCGTGTCAACTTTAATAGAACTAACGCGTCATGTTAATCTAATACAACACCTCATACCGATCTAAATCAAAGAGTTTGAGCTCTTTTAAGTTTTCTGGCACAATTATTAGATGACTATCAACTCATGCGTTTGAATATAATAATAGAAATAGAACTATATGAAATCAAGCTCATATGAAACGTCTCTCCGGAAATTATTCTATAATTGAGATGCATGAAAAAAAATCATTTTGTAGTATATCTTTGATCTGTGAAAACCAATTTTCTGTGGATTAATACGATTTTGCCTTAGGTTCACTTACACTATGTATTAAGCTTTGAAGAAAAATCATCATTAGATGTTATTTGATCCAACCATAAAGATATCATTTATCATGATGGGTAATTTAAATTGAAAGATTACTTTCTATGAAAATCTCTATATACGTGCGCTATAATAATAGACGCTATATGTCGATATAAGAAGTAATATGTGCGTGTGATCCATTGTCAAGCAATTTTGACAGACTGTGGCGAGGAAACAATGTCACAGCATCCTACCCACTTTATCATATGAAATTAGTGGCTCTAAATTTCGAATCGTTGTACAATAAAACATGCGCTTTATTACAGTCATTTGATCATGATGGATTCAAATATGTGAGGGAGAATATTATAATATGTTAAAACGTAATGGAAATTAAAGTTGAAGGGGATTACGACATGACATCTACCTGGGACGATTTATTACACCTTTTATGAAATGTTTGTTGTTGTTTTCATACATGAGTGCGTCTGACTAGGTTGTGGAACGTTAAGTTTAAATTGTTTTATGTCGACCTTGGTGATTCGAAGTTTGTCTATTCTCCACTTTCCTTATAAGACATACATACAACGTTGCTTGGATATTTAACTGCCACTACTCGCTTTAAAATGTTATTATTGTACAACAAAGGCCGTAAAATTAGATTTGTAATAGGTAAGACATACGAGAGGGTGTCTGTTTTACAATATTTATGTGGTATGTATATGGTGATGATATATAGTTAACGATGCGAAATAAGACCCAATTATACTGTCTTACAAATTTTATTGTGTTCTTTATCGTTTAAATCATACCAGATAGCGTCACAATGAGTGGGGAATCCCAGTCCCGAACTTAATATTGCCAAGCTCATTGGCTGGTCATTAAATTTTCTCCGATTTGGTAAAACCAAACAAAACAAAGAATGCTTCAACTCGATCTCCCTCCACACCGACCATACGAATAACGTGGTTAATTTTAAGCCTTTCAGCAATAGTTTCATGGAATTCTAAAGCAGGGTAATGAATAAAGATTTAAGCATTATACAGTAAATAGGCTGCAAACATTTTTTTTAGCAAACCAACCATGGAATTATTCAGGAATCGTTTGTTTGATTTAAGATTCCAAACATGCTCACAAACTAATTTGCGAGATGGAATATTTTGTTTCACAAGAAATAAATACAATATTGAGGGACAAATGTCTTCATGATGTTTTGGATTAATGATGTTTTCCCGATTTTCATTAACTTTGTTTATTTATATCTTCAGCATGTAGAAACAAGAAAGCTGACATCGTCTTCGCCATTGATTCCTCTAACGGCATCAACCGTAACGATTACTGGCAGCAGATTCGCTTTGTACGTGAAGTAGCCAGACGTATGGATATCGGCGAGAACAAGACCAGGGTTGGCCTTATTGTATATACTGACCAGGTCTTGCGCCAGTTTGACCTCTCAGACCATACCAACATGAAACCCTTATTAGAGGCGATTATCAGTTCCAGACGAAGTGCTGGTGGTACTAGGATTGACAATGCCGTCAGGTACGTTTTACTAAAATACCTAACTACTTACTTATCGTTAGATCTGGGTTAACGGTCTACTTTGATTTCAAAGACCTGTTCTCGTCTACCAGCTTTGATGAAACCAGTTTTACGTCACACCACGTCAAAATGTATTAATATGATAGCCAGTATAACCATATGCTAAAGTGTTCTCCCCACAGGAGCAATCATTTATCATGTGTGCCCTCTGTGCTATATGTCAAAATTAGATTACTTTTGACGTTTTATGTTCGTATCTACATGTATGTTGGACAACATTTTGTCCAATCTAAAACACTGACCGATACTTATAATGTCATTTACAACAAGTGGTTAAATCTGTATCATGGTGTTTCGGTTCATTCCCACCCAGCTCAAAACTTAAATAATCATGTTAGCGTGACTAAGGTATAATTGGAATTTCTAAAGAAGGATTAGCTGTAGTCTGTTTCACATTGGGCACTGTTTATTTCATTAGGTTAAACCTAATAGTAAAACAAAATCACTTGATAATGTTTTATTCAACATTTATTATAGTAAAACATGTTTATTTTAACACTTTTAATGTAAATGGAAAAACTTAATATAAAAAATAAATAACTAAATAGCACTATGAAATGAGCATCAACATTAAAAATATATATTTACATGAATATATATATTCATATATATATATATATATGAACATTTACATTTGCCATTTTGACATATCAACTGAAGATGTCACTCCCTTAAATATGTTTTAATTGAACCAAATAGATTCATTACTTTGTAAAAAATCACTCATTAAACACAGTTCACATGACACTTATTAAACACAGTTCACATGACACTTATTAAACACAGTTCACATGACACTTATTAAACGGTTAATCCATATCTAATTAGGTGAACACATTTCAGCTACAGACCATAATCCCCCAGCCCTAAACCCTTAATCCTCTTAATCAATATTTTGAGCTGGATGGGAACAACCCGGTGTTTCACACTCTTACAACCTGCTTAGATATTAATTATAGCCGTTTAAACTTTTAAGAACAAGATATGGGACGGTAAATACCTACTTAGATGGAAATCCATGGACAATGGTCGAATATTTTAGCTTAAAAGCATAAAAGAAAGTATATTTCACTGAAAGAATAGATAGTAACGCTTAAAGATTGATTATGTAAAATAAAAAAGGAAAATGAGCAAAGTTATGAATGTTTGAAGTTTTAACATGATAGTCTCGATTGTCAAATAACATTGTTGTGGTAATAAACTAAGTCTCGATTATCAATTTTAACGTTCAATTAATAAATGATGCGGTGGTTCTAATTCACAGCCATCCAATGGTCTATAAAATTGATTATGGGATTTTCATGTGAAAAAATGCCTAATTGATACTTTATATAACATTTGAAGCCAACATGATCTGTAATAGGCATATTTACCTCTTATATAATACAGCTTTAATATTATCCCATATTATTAGTCATATCATATACATATTTGTAATGTATAGAAGATTTGCTTCCTTTGTTTTCTTGTGGGATAATCAAATAGTTATTATTTTGTATCATGCAGATATGTAAGAACAAAAAGTTTCCGGAGAAGTCTCAGTCGACCCGGTGCTGCTCAGGTTGCCGTCTTCATTGCCGGAAGCAAATCTAGAAATATCCATAAAACAAAGAAAGAAGCTGGTGATGCTCGAAGTGCTGGAATGACTCTGTTCAGTATAGGGGTTGGCAAGGGATACAGCAAGGATGAGATGCATGTCATATCCAAGGGTAATAAAGGATGGGGTAGACATGGTTATTTTGTGGATGATTTTGACCAGATAGAAACAATTATTAAAGATTTAACAATTCAAGCCTGTCGAAGTGAGTATTTAAACCTACTTCGTATTTTAATCGTATTAAAACAGCTTAGTACAGTATATCATTGATGTCAAATTTCATTAACATCTTGACGAAATACAAAGATATTCAGATTTTAAAGATAATTCTTTCTACTCATTAGCCATTTTGACTTTGTGGAACGTCTTTTAACCTTTTCTGTTTTCTCTTTCGTTTTCAGCCAAACCAACAGAAACACCTCTTACTAACTTGTGTAAGTAACGATATTTATTTCTATAGTAGTAAATACTAGTAAATATATGATGAACGAATGCACAATGAATAATTAAATGGCATGCAATGACAGCACTCCCTCTATGGATTGGCTTGCCTCTTATGATTTGTTCTGAGAGATGACAGTTTGAGATTTAAGCATCTAGATGAGACATTAGGTCAGGTTAAAGAGCACAGGTGTCTTAAAGATGTAAAACCAAACATTCTGATTTTAATACACCGTGTCGCTTGACATTTTAAATAATGAAATATTTTGTGTGGAGTGGGGAGGCAGTAGGGTGTTACGAAATGAACTGAAATGGTGATGTAAAGTTTTAGTTTTCTGCACCATGAATCGAACTGATGGTGGTGTTTGTTGACTATGTATGCACGAGTAGCACTGCAAAGTATTTAACCGCAATGAATTGAAAAAGAAAATTGCTTTATGTAAAATATTACGAAATGTCACATTTACTCAAAACCTGTGCGTTAATATTTGTGTAAGAACATAAAACAAGTCGAACTAGTTTGTGGATTCACCAAAAGATATTGGTGCAAAATGTAGGTTAGATTATCATTCAATACTGGTTCGGGTGGGCCTACATTATTTGGCCTTCTACATAGTTATATATGAGTGATCTCCCATTTCAACATGACTGTAGTAAAATAACTAATTGACCGATTCACTGTTAGGGACTAACACAAATTTTTATTCGATTGAACGTATAACCATTTGTAATAATGTGTATATTGTCAGGTAAATGGTGTTAATAATTTACCATTTTATGTTGTTTCAGCATGCGGATTCAGGCAACAAGCTGATTTAATGTTTGTTGTGGATAGTGCTAATGCAGGGAGAACAAACACAAAGAAGACACTAGAATTTGTTCGAGATGTCAGTAAATCAGTGGATATCGACCAAGACAATGTCCATGTTGGTCTAATGTCGGCCGGATGTGACGCAGGCGAAGAAGGGTTTTCGCTTGGAGCTCACAGAAATGAACAAGCCATGAAAGACGCCATATCTAGAAATCAAAGGGGAACGGATATAAGCAAGCTACTGAAGGATATGCGTAGGAACTCGTTTTCCTCAAAAGAGGGTGGCAGAAAAGATGCTAAAAAAGTTGCAGTAGTGGTTGTTGATGGGCAGTTGGAACAACCACTGAAAGCTTTAAGAGAAGCCAGGTTTGCTAGAATCCGGGGCGTGGAGGTGTATGTGGTGGCGGTTGGTAATGGTGAAGTTCAGAAAGAGATAGAAATGATGTGTGATGATCCTCTACAGAAGCACTTTTTCCGTGTTGAAAATTATGATCAACTAAAAGGCTTAAAGACGGATCTTGTTGATATGTTTTGCGATGGTAAGTTAAAGAATCATCATTCCAAGCCAGATTCTCAATAATACAAAACCCTATTTTTTGTTAGCTTTGAAAACCTCTCCAAACTGGCATTACATTATAAAGAAAGAACTAGCACACTGTGCATGGGCGGTTCTTATTATAATAGTGTGTGACATTTATTGTTTGCGCGATCTGTTTTGAATGTTAATTTCCTGCTTTCAGGAAGCAATTAGTCAACATTTAAGTTAGTTTCTTTTAGATAAAATTACTTATCATTTCAATATTTTTGTTTTTCAGAATTATAATTCAGACGGCGATTTTGAGATATTCTGTGATAGGGTGAGAATGTATTTGGGGGACCAGGATTCCTTAATGTAATGATAAACCTACACCGGACATAGACCAGGTCAAACCAGTATGAACGGAATGTCCATGCTCCTATTTGATATTATATGTCCCTATTCCGTTCTCCAGTAGCTGACCATTTTGCTCAGTTCTAACCAGGAACATTTTGTGCTCATGATTAGTCTCCAAAGACATATTTATTTACCAAAGACTATGGATACGAAATTGCGGCGGATGTAATGACTATTTGGAAAACTATCGTACAAGTGCTGAGTGGAATTTTATGAGATATTGACTCGCAATTCTTTCATAGCTAGTGGGAAGTACATTGAAACCGGTGTAGGGAAGATTGGGGGTAGGGATGGGCGTGTGTGCAATATCGGTGCTGCTAGAAATGAAATCGCTGTCTCTATGACGTAATTACTAGTTTTACGGTTCATCAACGTAATGTGTCGTGTTTGTGTATTTGTTCTTCAATGAGATTAATTGTTTCTCTTGGCCCAAAGGAATGAATCTCAGGAACATTAGAGTGAATAACAGTGGGCTTAACATATTACACATCAACTTAAAAAGGACAATAAGAGTGATGTTTTCGCCAGTTAAAAGCACTAGGCCAATAAAATAAATAAATACCTGTGTTTACGTTTAAATGCCCCCCCCCCCCAAAAAAAAAATTAAAAAAAATAAGATCGGTCGCTCTGATTTTTTTCGTTGTGTTGTTTGTATTACCTATTTCCTAACGTTTCTGTATTAATTATTGTGAAAGGTTTTTGCAAATAATTCTAATTCCCTGGGAAATCGAGAAAAAAGTTTATGGTAGGCGTTATCGACTCAAAAAATAGGATCGGTGAGGTAACCGTAAACACAGGTATTTTTTATATTGACCTTACATATATATATATAAATTTGTCTGAATGTCTATGTCATATATTTTTGTACATCTAATAGATTAGTTTAATCCATAAAAATAGTGCTATTTACAAATGTATAATAATAATCATAAATTATAAATCTAAAAGACGTGCTCAATGCACATAAATTGTTCTTGGATATATGATCGCTATACTCTGCTATATTTATTACTTGTTATTAAATTGAGATATCTTCAACTTTCTATAGGATTAATGCGGTGAACTTGGGATAAATTAAATAATACGTAACCGATTTTCCTTTGAAGTCGCTGATCAAAATATGAAATATGTATTTTAAAATTCACATTAATCATATTTATGCAATAACTAAAGCTCGGTGATTCGTGTCTACATGAAACTTTTTTAGCTTCTGTCTTACTTGAATTTATATTATAGAGCAATTCTTGCCTTGTTCATATTTCCTAATCCCATGCATTTTTTAAAAATAAAATATAGAACAAATAATATCCCAATAAATAAATATATTATATAATAGTTTGGAAAATATATATTATCTGTTATTGTTATTTTTGTCTTTTCTATTATCCTCCCTTACTTCTTGTATAAAACTAGTGATTTTCTCACTCTTGTTATTACGTTACTTTTTACAAGCATTATTTGTTATTATCCTATCAGTTATCCGTATTATGCATTTTATTATGAACTGTCCATCCATAATATTAGTCATCATTTTGTTGATATTTTCATCAGTAGCCCGAGAGTACATTTCGAAGTTTACATTATGGGTAAAAAAACTTATTGTACGAATAGTTTCCATACCTCCACATTATTTCAAATAAACAATAAAGAGAAAACTAGCTTGCTGATACCCACAAATTAAAAACAGATACTGACAAACCACAACATATTAGAAACCCCCAAATAACAACATGATTGGGTGATAAAATCACATGATTTCAAGTGATTTCCAAATGGCGGCGTACATTCAATTTAACACAGATACCCTACAGCTCCAAATATAGCCCCAAATATAGCTCGTTTACTGTATTTTTGTTATGTGCACGAACCACTCTACCTACGGGTAGTTTGTTATTAAGAAATAGGAGACGTCGACGTTAAAATGAAAGGAATTTTCTATTCAGGGGACAAAGTTTCGATGGGAGTTTCCATTTTGAATGTCACATGATACCTGTGTTCTTTAACATGATTGGTCCAATGTAGTCTCTTAATTCTTTAAATAATGTCTGTTCAGCTAAACAGTTGCTTTCTGTAAACAGGAGTGCGATATTTTTCCCGTTTGTTGTATATTTGACTAAATCAGCGCCCGGATTCACTTCCCAAGTATTTAACAAAACATACGATGAAAATTGTTAGTGGCATAAACTTCCTATTTCAACGATAAGTGTAATCAGATGTTCTAGAACAAGTATTTTCGGGATACATCATGTTTAGAAGATTATCAGAGTATATGTCTATGGTGTAATATATTAATGTAAGTTTCTCCCGAAATTTGTAAAAAGTAAATTTGCCAGTTAATGTATATATAAAATATATTATTATTATTATTATATTATTTTTAATAGATCTGTTGTATGATAATTTATTTGTTAGTTTCGTGTTGATGCGCTAATAGTTTCGTAGTTAACAGAAGTTTCTGTCGCAGTTGGATAATAAAATATTATAAAACCCAGGTCTCGTTCGAATTCTTTCTAAATGAAAAGGGGATTTGATTGCCGAATGGTTAGCACGTGCGCGCTGTATCATAAAGCCTGCCATTGAGTCAACTGGCGTGGTTTCGAATCCCCGGTTGTACGTGACAAGGACTAGGGTCGCCTGTCCAACCTCGTGGGTTTTCTCCGGGTCCTCCGGTTTCCTCCCACTACTAAAGACCCCTTTTATTGAAATAAAATTAAACCATATGTTAGTCTCGAAATGACCTAGTTTGTGTCGAGTGGACGTTAAACCCCATTTCTCTCTCTCTCTCTCTCTCTCTCTCTCTAAAAGAAATGCGTGTCTAGTCTTTCGGATGGTATAAAACAGTTTTCCAGGGTACATGTTTCTGTCTTAGTTAGACAATATAACAGGTCTCGTTCGAATTCTTGTTTAGGGTTGTCGAGCGTGCAAATTGGAATTGCAATTAAAATGATCCATTGAAAAGGAAATTTAAAGAAGTGTCTTCGGGATTCCAGCTGTTAGGGAAAATTCTTCTTCTCGCACACATTACAATATGTTAGTCTCAAAGTGGCCAAAGTAGTCAGTTGATGAGATGTTAAACACCATTTCATTTGAATTCAGTCTGTGCTTCAAATGGTTTTCTTATTTAGTACCACCCTTTTATCAGAAATGAACTGGGGGTTTAACGTCCTACTTTTTTTGGACTGACTGGACTAATGAAGAGTGGTATAAGTCATGAAGTTTGCTATAAGGAACGAGAGCGGCACTCAGGCCTACTCTTATTTCGAATCCAGCTGGCAAGGGTTCTTTTACATGCCTTCCATTGTGTACACGGGACCTCGGTTTTTCGTCAACAACTAGACCTACTTCCTTGTGAGGCCATCGGACCTGCACCACTGATAAGAGGAACCACAATGGAAAATCAGAGGAACTTTCTCAGCCAGTACTGTGTGGTTAGTGAGCTACTGCGGCAAATTATCAGTCAACACCTTCATGATTAGCAAGCCAGCGTCATACTCACTGATCCACTTCGACTCCCCTTTTCATAGGATTTTGTGAAGTAAGACAGCTGTCGTTAACAGTCTGCTAGCTAGGCCCAGCCCATAAGTTTCCTAGATGTGATTTTTAATATAACTTTTCGTTGTAAACGGCTGACTTAAAGTCAATCACTGATGAAAACCAAGCTGAGGCAACGGCGGCTCTGATAACTCTGCTGCCGAAGGTTCTTTAACGTTCACGCCAAAATTTATAGGGTTATTTGGTTTGCTTCTGGTTCACCTTCAAATCTAAAGGGATATTCTCAACCACAAGAGTGTCGATAAGGTGTTCATATTTGAGGAAAAGCCAATAATGAATTTCAAATCACTTTTGGGATAATTATTTAATCATAAATTACACATCCACCTGTAGGCCCACCAATGGAGATGGAATAGCTGTTCGCACACGTGGGGGGTTGGGTGGCCGAATGGTTAGCACGTGCGTGCTGTGTCATACGGCATGTCATTGAGTCAACTGGCGTGGTTTCGAATCCCAGGTTGTACGTGACAAGGAGTAGGGTCGCCTGTCCAACCTCGTGAGTTTTTCTCCGAGTCCTCCGGTTCCCGCCACTGCTAAAGATCCCTACGCGCAAGCGAATTATTGAAATAAAATTAAACCATATGTTAGTCCCGAAATGACCTAGTTTGTGTCGAGCGGACGTTAAACCCCATCTCTCTCTCTATCTCTCTCTCTCTCTCTCTCTCTCTCGGTTCGCACACGTAATGAATAGTATTAACTAAAATGCGAAACCACAATAGCTAATTGCTTAGAGTTGCAGTTATAGTGCTTCAGAGATCTCAGACGCTCGCTCAAAAAAATCCAAACATTTTTTTATTTGCCACCTCTAAATACAGTTTTAACATCGAAGATTTATTCGCAGCTCAGGTTTGCAATACTTTTGAAACTATTGACAAAATGACGGACTTGTCGGTTTATGTCGATGATTAGCCTTATTGTCCATTAGTTCAGCAATTGCGTAAATTTTTGTTTGATTTGGGAAACAAATGTAAACATCATACAAGCGAAGAACCATTTGTGCGCTTGCTCTAGGGTAGTTCTAGGAGAATGCAAGAGAACAGGAATTTCGCAGAAAACATTATTCGTCTGTTGGTTTTTTTTAGCAAGCAGGATATGTTTACGTCTTCCATTTTGTATGACGAGAATGTCACATATAGATTTTGTGTATTTTTTTTATTGTCTATCTGGTTAATAAAATCATTCAAGCGGTTTGATTGATAGAGTCTACCAATCACTTTAGTGTCATATATTTAGACAAAGATGAAGTTAAGTAAACCACCGTAGAATAAAATGGAACGATAGAACGAAATGTTAGCATAATTTAAACGCGACTGTGGTTTTTAATGATTTAACAATCAAATTGAATGTCAAATTAAGGACTGTTAACAAATCCACCCATGAGATATTGATATTTAAATATTCATTAACTGTCGTAGATAACAACCGCCAGTGGTGTTCAACGATTTCAGATGACGCTTTGTTTAGCTCATTTAGGCCATGCAGTGCTGAAAATTCAGACAACAATGCGGGTCTACGTTCACTTTAAATTGGATATTATTTAACAATATTTACATTTATTGTCTTGTTGAATGTTAGCCTGCCTCTTTAAAATACTAAAACAGTTATATCGTAATGAGAGTTGAGGGTCGGCAAATTGGTCTATATTTAAACATACACATGTTGGAAGAGAATTTAGAGACATTATAATGGGTAAAATTGCCATGCCAGATTCCAAGACATTTAATTGGTGCCAACATCTAGTTACTCTCTGATGATTGTATCTTTAGTTGTCTTTTCTTCATCACGTCAACCTTGTATTAGTAATTCTTTAAATATTAGTTTGTGTCGGCAGATTGCTATTCACCCGAGCCACGTACCGATTTATTTTTTCTCCCTGGAATATCCATCATTTGGTTACGTGTACACATACACGTCTTCGGATACGAGAAACTATGCAGAATAAATAAAAGCTAAGATGTATTTTTATTTAAGACGTTGATAACCATGATAACAACTGAACAATTAATCCTAAGATGATTATTAAGTCTGTACTTCCTAATTATTTCCATTAACGAGTAACCTACATGCTTGTAAAAAAAAAATAGCACTTTAATGTGTGGCACGCTATTTATAGTGCAAAAAAAGTGAAGAGGAGTATAACGTCCTACTTTTGTTCACCGTCCGGCTTATGAAGATAGGCATAAGCCATGCAATTTGCTGTGAGGGAAATATTTGCCCGGTCAGCGGCGCTACGACCTTCTCGTATATCTAATTTCAACTATCGATAGTCTTTTCTAAGAACACGCCAAAAACGGGACCCCGATCGATTAAACAGCTGTCAGCCCCTCCGTCCTGTACCAATGACAAGGGAAGCCGCACCGGAAATCCCTTTGAACTGTCTCGGTCAACACCGGGTGCAAATCCGGGACTTCAAGACTAGTGCTCCAGAAGTTTATTCCCCGAGCCATCGCGGCTTTTACGCTGTTTGAAACGACACATATAAGTGCTTTTCCAGCCCCAGTTTCCCTCCAGCTCCGGAATATATAAAATATGTTCTTGGTAGTTTAATTATACATCAATCGACTGATGATATCGTAAATACAGCCCAGCTCACCAATGGACTATACTGTAAGGTAGAGAGGGAATGGGCGGAATATATGTGGAAAATATGTGAAATATATTTGTGAGCCTAGTAGATACTGGGATTTCCCAAACCCAGTTCTTGTTATTATTTGCTCCCATACACGTAAAATACCAGTTGGGAATTGGAATTCTGAGAAGAGACGACGTAGACAATGTTTTATGGACAAAATTGACCACCTCCTTAAGTCAATGTACTCATACAAATTATCGTATGTCAGTTGGTCATTCTCGCATTTTAAAAATGACCCAAGTAAAGTTAATATAAGAAGTTAAACCATTCCATTCTTTTCTCACATTTTGTATATTAAATATACGTACACTTTAGCATTATTGGTGTATATTACGTATATTTTTGTATATCGAAAACTACTCTATCTCTGAGAGATATTTTCTACATTTCTCTCAAGAATAATTGGCAAGTAGTTAAATCTACCGAGCTTCAATATAATGGATGCATCCTTTGTATGATCCTATTCACAGTAAAGCGATTCCTATAAATCTGTATAAATGACCTATAAGTGGTAATGTTAGGAAACAGTTAGTATTAGTACTACACAGCTTGGCTACATTATGTGCCTTAGTCTGTTTACAAAAAATCTATAATATTTAGTACCCCGGGGAGGCCGCGTTTATTTGTGTGCCATCTTTTAACCATTTATCTAAAAAGAACCTCGCCCGATCTTTGATTTAGGTCAAAATAGAGTGTTGAATTAGGTTGATCTGCTATTTTGATTACTGGTAAGATGAACCTTATATGATTAAATGGTTGCTTTGCGAAATTAAGTGGACGTTGCTTCTTTTATCCATTTTAAATAGACTGTAATCATAATCAAATCGTCAAGTTTTTATCAAATGTCGAATTCATACTTACTTCTCTGCATCATACTGCATCTAAAGAAAGATTCCGCTTTCATAAACCCCCAGTTAAAATAGACACCCAAAACACCAAAATTGGTAACGTTTTGCATGTTTACACGGTTGCTAAGTACCTGAGATGTGAAGTGAATATAATGACAACTTTTTGTCAAAGTGAACTTGTGAGTTGTTTTCTATGTGATGGAGACAGGTTATTTCACGAAGTTTAAAATAAAACGGAACGAAATGGTGGTACTATTTTATTTAGACATTTTCCACGTAAACGGACATAATGTAATATTTAGATCGGAGGCCATTGTGGTGTTTATGGAATTTAACATCCCGAACATGTGACTTTTACACATCCATAAACCTATAATTCAACATTTAATCCTTAAATGACCTAAGATTTATTGTACTCTTTGGTGTACATCCATGATGCTAGATCAATGATATAGTAGG